CATATATACACATATATGTGTATATATATATATGTGTGTGTGTGTATATATATGGCAGTGTTACACTAAGTTGCCCGGGCTGGGTTACTAACTATGATTCTCTTGCTTCAGCTCCTCAGAGTGCTGGTATTACAGTGCTGAGCTGTGCCACTACACCCAGATGATAATCTTTTGGTCATTCTTTCCAAAAAGCAAGAAGATGTGAATTCAAGTATTTTTTTAAATCCCATTTGTACTCAGGACTCCAGACATTGCTTTTATTTTCTTGAATAATGTGTTCCTGTGCTGTGGTCATATAAATCCACTGTTCTGTAACTTAGAAAAAAAAAGATGCTAGTTTTTCTTTATACCATTGGTAGGACAGTATAAAATTTGTAATGTACAAGTAGTAAATATTTTTTGAATTCTCTAAGAAAAAAAGGAATAGGAAAAAAACAACCATGCAACAATGAAAAACTGAAATGTATTTTGCCTCACACATGAGAATGACTTTGTACCTCTAAAATAAATTATATCATTATATTCCATTCATGGTTTTAAAATACATTTTTTGTAATTTTTCTTTATCAAGAAGGAAATCTATCCACATTTTATTTTTGTTTAACGTTTTGTTTTTGTTGTACTTTACATTGATTTTGATTTGTAATGTTGGGTGAGCTGAATTACAGCTAGACATAGTATACATATTAGAAACATAGATAATCCCAAAAAGGGGTTTAGCTCTTCACTTTCTAAGCAAGAAGGTCATTAACTGTGTGTGGATTATAGTATTTTACTGAACATATTGCTATATAAAGAATTTAAATTTTTAGTGAAATGTTTTATTGAAATTTTATTTTGTGCATAACCAGCTTACCTTTCCAATTTCCTGTTAAAAGCTCTTCACAAGTTTACTAAATGATCAAATAAATAATATATATCATTTTTCTGTACTACCTGAAACATGGCATTATATTTTTTACTTTACTGGAGTTACATTCATTTAATGTAATAGACTCCAATTAATTTAGATCAAGAGGTCATTGAATGTGTTATTTGTCTTGTTTTTTGAGGTAGCAGCTTTTAGGAATAAGAAAATCTTCCTTTTTTGGAATTTTTAATTGACACAGCAAATGTTTTCTCTGACTTATATGTTTAAGATTTATTTTTAGCAACACAGGCTGCAGTAAAAAAAGTGAATCATCCATGTGAATCACTGTATCAAAATGCAATGTCAGAGTCACATACAAGGACATGTAATGTATGCAATGGTGTTAGATCAGTTAATTGTGGATATAATAGCAAATAGTAATATAAAAGCAACTATCATTTATTGAGTGTATATTTTGGATGAGGCACTATACAAAGTACTTAAAATAGCATATTACCTAATTCAGAACAATAATATTAGTAGTATCAATATCCCAAGCAAGAAAAATAAAGGTGAGCAAATTGTATCTATGAAAATGGAATTAATAAGTGTTGAAAAGTAATATTTGTACTACTTCAAAGCTTGTCTTTGAGGAACATGTGTATGCCTAAGACTGAAGTTATTGCTTTTATACCTTAGTAAGAAATTTATGCACAACAGTTAGAATTGGAATTTTTTCTTCAGGTGACAAAATTGACACAATATTCCTGGAGTTCTGTATGAAAATGAAACTGACAATACAATACCAAACATATAAGCATTCGAAAATATCCTGTGTGATAGAAATTGTACCCCCACTGAGATATTTAAAAATGTTAAAATAGAAGATAAAATTTTTAAATAAAATATTTTTAAATAATAAGTGTTTTTTGAGTATCTAAAAATCTAGAAAAATATATATGGCTGATCTTTTTTTACAAATTGTTACATTACATTAATTTTGTACATTTAATTATATAAGATTAGTGGAATTAACTGAATAGTATTTAACTAGATCTTAAAGAAAGTTGAGCTAAACAACCAAAGTGATGAAAATACATTCCAAGTATAGTAACAAATGGACACAAACAGGATAGCTAAGCAACCATAACTTATTCTTTTACAGTTATGGAGGCTTTCAGCTGAATTTAAGGTTTCAGCAGGGCCGTATTTTCTCTGAATGTTCTAGCTTTGGGTTAACGGCACTATAACTCCAATAACTCTGCCCCTATAAGTTTCTTTGTCCCCATATCTCTTTTTTATAAGATTATTTGTCATTGGTTAGATTTAGAGTCTACCCTAATCTTATTGACTTCATCTTAATTCATTTATATCTATGAGATATTTTTGTATATAAATTCACATTAATGTGTCCAGGCTGGACACAATTTTTTTGGGGGGGGCACTATTCACCCCAATAGCCAGAAGTAGGGAAGTGTCAAGTCATGAAACTACTATTTTTCTAGGCTTTGTAGCACAGATTATACCCTGAATATAGAAGGGACAAAATAAAATTATGTAAGCCAAGAAGCAATATGATTAGACTTACATCTAGAATTATCAGATTGGAAAATAAGGAAAAAAACAGCAAGAGAGCACATTAGGAGTTTTAGAGGTAGTAAGGTAAAAGAGTTTTCAGGAATGATTATAAATATCCATTGAGAATTGTGCCAATCCTCAACCAAGAAACAAAGGGGAGAGCTGATTTGTGAGTAGGCAAGGGGCTAGAGATAAAAATGAGCTTTAAGAAAAAACACTATTTTTAAATTAAAGTTAATTTATATCTACACTTCGGTAATTTTTCAAAATAAAATATGTCAAAAGAGTAAGCATACACACACAGAGAGTTGCTGCCTACCTCTCAACTCAAATGTCCAGCCCATTTTTCCTGGGGATTCTTCATGTCAACCACTTAGGCCATTCTTTCTGGCATTTTAACTTAAATCTATGTCTGCTGTTATTAGAAATGAAGCTTTAAAGTGTCTGTTCCCTTTGTATTCCGCTCATCTTTCTATTGTAATTATCTCAAGCACATATTAAATGTTATATTATTATTATTAGATAAATAATTTTCACAATTTATCTAAATAGTACTTTCTTAAAATAATATTTTCTCTGGTGAAACTTTCTGCTTTTCCACAATTTCATTACTTGATATATTAATTTAGTTATTTACTTTTTGAGCTATGCTTAAAAACTTCCCACACACTACAAAACTGGTAAAATCCCTTTCAATTGTCATGAACAAGGGTCAATTAGGTAGATAACTTATTATTCTTAATTTTTTTAATTTTCTTGAAATCACCCTTTTATCTTTTGTCTTCTTGCTCAGATCTGTATGAATTTCTTTGCTAGGGTGTTTCACCATTTCAGCTGTTATGGGATTTACCATTAACATCACACTAAAAATCCAGGAGGGAAAAAAAGTGATCAAAGTCCTATAGAATAAAAAGCATAGAGTTCAGAGCACACATGATAGTTAACCCTTAAGAGCAGGTGGTTAAATATGTACACTGTGGCAAAGGAAGGACTACGTTTTTTGGGGGGGGTTGTTTTGTTTTTTGATACCGGGGATTGAACTCGGGACCTTGTACTTGCAAGGCAGGTGGTGGAACCACTGAGCTAAATCCCCGGCCCATGGACTATTTTTTTAAGGACTACTGTTTCTTTTAGAAATTTGGAAGATTATCTGGCCTGTGGTTGTGGCAGGACAGGCTTTTTCCCTAAAACAGAGTGATAAATGCACTGATTAGAAATGGAGTGATCAAATGAATCCAGATAGTAATACACAGAAATACCACATTCCCCTCAATCCTTTGTTCAAAGGAGCTTCCCAATTTCAAAAGAAACCATGCCAGCAACATAAAATTCACTTGCACAGCTGATTAAATCCAACTTTTTCTCAATGAAGTAGATTACTTATCCACCAACACATTTCTACACAAGCTGTTAGGAAATAAAATCATCTCCATAGTATTATTTGTAAATGAAGTTATTTAAAAACTAATGTTTAAAATATTGCCAATGCTATGACTTTTTTCATTTGCACTAATAGTTGATTTTTTGGCTCTTCATTTTTAATTAATTAATTAAGTTTTTGTACTGGAATTGAACCCAGGGGTTTATGCATGTTAAGCAAGCACTCTATTACTGAGTCGTATCCCAAACCCTGCCTCCTCTTTTAATGAATGACTCGCTCTTCTTTATTGGAAAGGTGATAATATTGATAACATTTGTTATTTCTTATTTGAAGGTTGCTTTGCAATTTGACATAAACACCATTGAAACAATTATATGCTTTGCAATTCTACCTATAATTGTACTTACTTATAATGCATAATGAACTAATGTGTCTGTTATTCTTTTCTAAAACTGAATATTCTACAGTAGGCTATTTCAAAATGCTCTCCTTTGTATTCTCAATGAGCAGAATGCTTCTGTCTCATCTAAGATGTAAGAGGACTTCTGGTAGTCAAGTGGGGAAAACCCATATGAAATCTTGTCTTTCTTTTGTGAAAAGAATAAAACTTTCCTTCAAGGAAACTATAGTTTTCACATCTTATTATTATATTCAAATAACAAAACAATGCACTAATCTATCTCAGAGTCCTATCTGTTTCATGTTAATTGTAGGCCATGGCACAGAAGGAAGATATGGAAGAAAGAATCACAACCCTTGAGAAGCGTTACCTCAGTGCTCAGAGAGAATCTACCTCCATACATGACATGAATGATAAACTAGAAAATGAGTTGGCAAACAAAGAAGCCATCCTACGGCAGGTTCAGTATCTGTCTTAGCTCTGTTGTGATCCATGTGTATTTCTTATCATTCTCAAAAAACATGAACAAAATAAAATAGTTTGTTGTGATTAATAAAATTGTTTGTTTAATTAATCACGCTGTAAATTTAGAGTAGCCCTTAGGAAACAAATGTAATTTTCAGTTGGCAAGTTACTTTATAGAAAATAAATTGTCTTGAAAAGAATAAAATAATTACTATTATTGCTTTGGATTTAAACGTGAATCAGAAATTACACTATTGCATATGTTTACTTCACATATTAAAATGACTACAGATGTTACCTCACATAATTCTAACTACTACCTACGTCATACGTACCATTATTATACTAAGTATACTAAGGATCAAAGACATTAACATTTTCCCAAGGTCACACATCTGGTAAATGTGAGAGCCCATTATGGAAGCCTAACTCTACTAGGCTGTAGAGCAACAGTGGGCAAATGATGTCTCATTGGCCAAATTTGGTTGGCTGCCTGCTTTATAAAGTATTAGTAGAGTACAGTCGTGTCTAATCATTTAATCGTTATTCATGACTGATTTTGTTACGCCGGCAGAGTAAGCTAGATAGAACATAGACCACACAATCCACAAAGTCTAAAATATTTACTATTTGGTCCTTTCTCCAAAGTATGCCAACTCCATCTCAGAAGGCTGGAGTCTTATCATACAGCATTCTCTCTCCCAACTCAGCCTAATGCTGTGATTTTCAACATTTTATTATAATGGTACATCTGCAGTCTTAATACTGAGCTGAGCTGTATTGTATTTGTACAAGTTCATACTCATTAGTCATTTCTTTTTACTGCCAGTGGTAAGAACATTTTTACTTTTAATGTGCTGTATTTTATTAAGGAAAATTGTTAAATAATATATAAAAAAATGATGATAATCATCATAGCACATTTAGGTGTGGTAGTAGCTGATTTGAAAGCTAGAATAATGGCTGATGTATAAACCTTATATTGACTAGTATTTGCTGTCCTAAGCTTGACCCTCTAAGTGTCTCTTTTACCATACCTATTTCAGATGGAAGAGAAAAACAGACAGTTACAAGAGCGTCTTGAACTGGCTGAGCAAAAGTTGCAGCAGACTATGAGGAAGGCTGAAACATTACCTGAAGTAGAGGCTGAACTGGCTCAGAGAATTGCAGCCCTAACAAAGGTACTGCACGAAAACAACTGGTCAACCTAGCTACCAATGTAGGAACAACTGGCAATCAAACTGGAATCTATGAAGATTTTCTTTAGGTGCTATAAAAGTAAAATATACTCACTATAATCTTTATTATATTGATCTGTTCTTTAATGATATTTTTCTTATTGCATATATCTTATTTATGGCAACTTGAATGATTAATATATAAATGTGATAAGCCCCTGGCCTATTTAAACATTAAGAAAATAAACAAAATTTTATCTTATTGTTATAGTTAATTTTCCATAATAATCTTTGCACATAAGAATAATCATGGAAATAACCACACAATGATATTTCATGTTTGAAATGTATTTACATAAGACATAACTTTCTCTGAACTCTTGATTTTCTTATTTACAAAACAAATTTTCATTTCTAGACATGCTTTTAATGTTATAATTCACTCAAACATTTTATCACCTTGTCCTCTGGTTTTATATAAACAACATATTTCAGACATATAAATTTTATATTACCAACAGTTATTTTATAATGCAAATTCTGTAAATCTTGAGACGTTATCCCTGTGCTTATAATATTTTTATTACATCTGAAGATCATTCTTTCATTTTTTTTCTCCCAACTTTATGGTTTCAACAACCTTGTACTTTTTTTTTAAATCTTCTTTCTCAATGACTTTAGGGATAATCTCTATAATCTTTTATTTTTTCTTTCAATTTTCACCTAGATTTAATATTTCAATATTATTGAGCATTATAACATTTTTCTACTTCTTTCCCTTTTGATTACTCACCGAAGTAGAAAATATTTCTGCTTATGTTAAAACCTAAGCATCCCACTTCTGTATTTTGAATGATATTTTTAACTCCTCGCCATTTCATTTGGCATATATGGGTGTATAAAGCACATTTTATTATCAGCCACCTAATTCACTCTTCTTCTTAAGTCATCTTTTTAAGTTAAATTTCTTCTCCACTTCTGACTGTAATCAAACTTTTATCAAAGTCATTTCTGCCTGCAATTTTTTAAAATTTCAGCTTGTAATTTTCCTATATCACATTAAAGTGAAGCCAAGATAAATGCAGTTTCCCTTCAGGAAATATAAATGAAAAATAGCAGACTGTTCCTTTGTGCTCTTTGTATCTACTCCAGTTGTTACAATTATAGTTTTTATAAGGCTATGCTGAATATAATCAATAGAGTTGATTAAAAAGTCTTCACAGAATTATTTAGAAATGATGTTTATATTTACTCTTCAGTTGAATATTTTCTTATCTTCTAGTGTGTATGTGTGTGTATGCATATGTCTGTGTCTGTGTGTGTGTGTATTTTGCATGCAGACAAAATTCATTTAAGACTTTTATAAATTTATAATTATGGATATCTTTGGATAAAGCTAAACTTTCTGTTTGGCAAGTTTATACAAATTAACCATTAAAGATCATTTTGAGCTCCCAATCATGATTTGTTATATCGACTTCTTTAATTAAAATGCATATTTTCCTCAGCAAGAACATAATTCATCTTGAATTTTATGAGGTATTTCATTCATTTTTAGTACCAATAAAAAAAATCAGCAATAACATAATAATTTAGAAATGACAAGATTCTTGTTCTATATCTGATGTGAATTTTTACAATGTGTGGTGTATTTTCAGTAGTTAAGACAGAATCAAATAGCAGTTTTAAGGACCTTCAAAACTTATGTTTTTGAAGAGATAGTTTGAAAAGTTGAAATTTTCATGTCTTGACTATCTTTAATCAGTCACTTGATTAATTTTAATACTTATATTTAAATTAATTTTATTGGTACATTTTAAGTATACAGTATAATGACATTCATCACTGGAGATTTGTACCTTTACATAATATATCTTGAAATATACTTTTATTAAGATACTTTTATAAATTTAGATTATATAATTTCAAATTTTTCAAGTATTAGTTGTATTCTTCCGAGAATATAGCTGAATTAAAAGTTATGAATCATATTATATAATCATTTCATTGCTTTTAGGGACCATGGTAGTTTTCTGTTTTGTTTCTGCTTGAAAATTTATTGAGGATATAGGAAAAGAATTTGGTTATTTGATTTATATATTCATGAAATAAGATTATCAAAAGGACAATGCTATAAATTGTAAATGTTGAGTTATACATTACATAAAGTACCAAATTTGAAGTATTAAACATTTATCTTATAGATTAAATTTGTGTTTATTTCATAAATTATATTAATGTGTATGAAATGATGCATGAATAAGTTATGATTTCTTTTTGGTTACTGAATTATATAGTAATAGTCCTATATTAGTATAAAGTAAGATTTACTGTTTTAGAATTAAGTTTTAAAATGTGACAAATGTGATCTGCAGTTAAAATCTGTAGACCTGACATAGGATTGTTCTAGTGTTATAATAGCTTACAATTGTGATTAAAATGTTTGTGTAACTTTATATGTAATTTGTGCAGAGCATACTAATACAATTCAGCAATCAGCAATGTCACATGTGTTAACACTTCCACTTCCAAGACATGTAACTAACCCTAGCAATGGACAAACATTAGCTCACAGCAACTCTGTGGTACTTACTCACTTTAGGGCACTACAGCATTCTGTTTCCATAGCAACAAATCAATAAAGAAATAATTATAGAATGGTCCTTGGTTCCATTTAGGAAAGTTCACCAATAAATTTTCTTGTCTTCACGGTATTATTGTCACCTTGATAATTTGAAGACTTTTAATTTAAAGTCTCAAATTAAATTTATATATGAGACTAGGCAATTAAATTGATGACCATAATATACATTTGGTGACCCTAAATTAAACTGGCTACTGTTGCTGAGGAAACTCAATCCTGCTTGAATTGAGGATGACTCATAACAATTAACCTTACAGCTTAGCTTTTTCTCTGGTTTTTGTGGTAGGGTTCATGATAAGCTCCAAATCTATTGCACTCAAGGCATTGCCTAACACACTGTTCAACATTGAAATACACTTCCACTGTTTAAGTAATATGATAAGCAAACAAACCAAAAATACAAAATTTTTCACAATCTATCAGAGACATATTCTAGTGTTTGGTTTCCCATAATTCCAGTTATTACATGACTTATTCAGAATTGCTTTCATTCATTCTGGAATAGTCTTTCATTGCCAGCCATCACTAACTTTCCATATTTTAGGTTGACAGCTTTTTATTTTAGCATATCATGTTTCATTTAAAACCATCCACTGCATTATGTTCACCAGATATCAGTGTAGTTTTTCTACATAAAATTCTGTCTATTAAAGTATTAAATTTGCTGTCACACTTTTATTTTAAGCATTCTGTGCTATGTTTTGTTCAGTGTCAGTGTCTTTAGTTCTGATTTTTCAATTTTGTCCCTCTCCTTTTCCTTGACTTGTTAGTCTGATCCAACCTCTTCTACCTCATCTGATGATTATCAATATGTTATGGAAGCTAAACTACAAGAAATGATCTCCATACGTAGGAAGGTAGTCCTACTGGACTTTACTTTCTATTGCTAAATAGAATCCATCTAAGTTTTTCTTTTCATTTATAAAAATTATGTTACTTTTATTTATTGATAATCAACCATCTGTGCAGTTCAGTGCTTCAGGAGCTTAAGATTGGACAATGGCAGGTTTGTGTTCAAACCATGCACAGTCTGCATGTTACATTTGGCTGATTTCATTGCTCATAAATAACTCCAATGTTTTGCTGATGCTTGGATGTAACAGGCCTTTGTAGCTGACACATTTCAAGCAATGCTGTTCAGCTGCCTGTTTAAAAATAGTTTATTTTTTGAAAACTGTTTGCAGTTGGTAGTAGCTTGCTTTACATTTTATTTCAATTTATTTAGAAAAACAGATTTAAACACATGTTATATTTCAGGTGCACTCTTCATATTTCTTAACAGGCTGAAGAAAGACATGGAAATATTGAAGAGCGTATGAGACATCTAGAAGGTCAACTTGAGGAAAAGAATCAAGAACTTCAAAGAGTATGTACACTAAAAGCCATCCCATCATCAGTTTATGATTTTACAACTACATAGAAGAAGAAAAATGTTCTTGATTATGTGTTTTATTTAAAATCTTATGGATATGGTTTATGTATTTTAAAGAAAAATAGTTTCTATCAATTTAATCAAAACAGAAAATTAAACCCAATTTGAAACTAGAAAAATTATAAAGACAAACTTGAACAGTTCTTAAGTAGTTTTTCATGTCATATTTATATTACTTTTTCTTAATTGTAAGGCTAGGCAAAGAGAGAAGATGAATGAAGAGCATAATAAAAGATTGTCCGATACTGTGGACAGACTTCTGACTGAATCCAATGAACGCTTACAGCTGCATTTGAAGGAAAGAATGGCTGCTCTAGAAGAGAAGGTAAAATGACAAGGGGTAGAATTGCATCAATATTAAGCAGTTCTCTTATGATTGTGTTTATTTTTCACACTGCTGCAATCATTGTTTTGGATAGATGATTAATTAAGCAGTTTTTAAAAATGCCTGATACATTTTTTTTATTGTGTGTGTTTATGGGAGGTGCTGAGGATCAAACCCAAGATTTCCTACATGCTAGGCAAGTGCTCTTCCACAGAGCTACACTTTCCAGCCCTAAACATGCCTGATACAATCTTGGAAGTTAAAAGATTATGTAAAAAATATAACGGTAATTTTTAAATGAATAAAAAAGGCTGCATGACGCACAAATCTTTCATACAAGCATGTTCATATGAAGCCAATGTATTAAAATGTGCTATACTTTTGTGATAAGTATTTCAATTATCTTTTCCACAAATGTAAAAAGGAGTTAAAAGACAAAAATTAATATTTAGGAGTGGAGGGACTTGCTTTCAACAATCCATATGTTTTAAATGACTGATACACGCTGCAGTCTAAAACAAAAGTATGAGTGAGTTTATATCACCAATGAACTATTGTCAATACCACTGAAAGATTTAGGAAGCCAATAGTTTCAGCTGCATTGTTTCAGAAAAAGTGCCCCTGTGCAGTCTGCAAATTTGATTCACAATTACATATGTCTCATTGATATTTGGCAGCTATCACACAAGCAAGAGTTATGGGGCTGGCTGCCAATTCCAGAGCATAAACAAAGGCAGGAGCTAAAACTCAGGTGGAAAAATCATTGTGGAAATTTAGGTTGAACGGCAACAAGTACTTTAGCTAGACATTTCCCTCTAACACATAAAATAAACCAAAATAGGGAAAATGTTTTAATGAAATGTTAAGATACTTTGATTAATTTACCTGTTAAAAAAAATAAGGCATCTTTCTATCCACACAACTCCACTTTTATGGCTGCTATTCAATTATGACATTATTGATTTAATTTTACTGTATGAATTTGAACAGAATGGATTATTTTAATCATACTTTGTAGTACTATAAGAGAAATAAAAGTATTTTAACAGTAACAATACTTTTGTGGTATTTTCACATGTCTTCCTGATATAATGCTACTTTTTAAATAGTTAGAATTTCATTTTTATTTCTCTAATAATTAAAGTGTTATTAGAATTATTTATTCTGCATTGGAAATGGATTTCTAGAAAATGAACTCTTAGAAATATGTGATGATTTCATCTTTCTTCCGATAATAAAAAAAAAATGTGTTAATCTGAATTCTTTACATTCCTGGCCAATATTTATCTTGTTCTATTTCTCATTGAAGTAAAACCTAATTAATTCTCATTTAAAAAGTTATCTGAGAAGAAGGATGCAAAATAGCTTGAAAGGTAATATTTATACCATTTATCCATTCAAGTGTTGCACTGTATCATTCCCCTCTTAAATAATGTATTTCTGAAAAAGCTGAAGTATCATGTTTAAAGATCCCATTAAAATTTGATTATCATAAAACCAAGGAAGAACTCAAGGGAAACCCATTGAGTGATAAAATATTAATCTACATATTTAAAATTTTTTCATTAATTTATAATTTGTTTTTTTTTCTATAGAATGTTTTAATCCAAGAATCAGAAACTTTCAGAAAGAATCTTGAAGAATCTTTACATGATAAGGTATTATGGAAACATTTTTGACCATTTTTCTATTTCACACTGATGAATGTGTATTAGATATGTATTATTTATGAGAATAGCGTTATGTTATATATTTGCAAACATGATCTTAATTCCAAAATACTTGAAAAAACTAATTGAGGAGAAATAACACAATTTCATGATCTCATGAAGGTGCAGGCTAATGGATACCAAGTGCTAGAGGAATGAGGTAGATAATAAGAAACAGGGAAACAATCAGTATGCACTGCTGGGGTGTGCAGGATTCAGGGAGGTAAGACTTGCCTGAAGAATTAAGGTTGCATTGTGCTGTGAGCCTTTCAACATAATGCAAACAGCATGATCACAAGTGTTTGGTAGGGCGAGGGGCGAATAGTGAGTGATATCTTAAATAGTAATTGGCAACAAGTGGGCAGGAATCTGTTATTCCTTCTGTAGAAAATGTGTCAGAAGAAGAAGATCAAGACCAGATAGTGAAATTATAATAGCTGTAATTGTTAATATGTCTTTTTAATAGCTGTAATTGTTAATGTCTTTTCTTACTTCATGAGTCTTATTTCATTATTTCAATAAAATAAAATAGCAAATTTAGTAAGTGTTCTGTAATTGTGTGTCTAACAAGCGATAAAAAGAATGGAGAGAGAGGAGAGTGGGTATGAGGAAGAAAAGAGGGAGGGCAGAAGGGGGAAATGAGAGCAGAGAGAAAGAAAGAAACAGAGGTATGGAAGGAGGAGGATCTGGCAACAGTATAACATAAAGAAGGTACTAGGAAACATGAAAGTATAAGGAGAATTCAAAACAGTTACACATTTATCTCTGTTGGGTGCAACAAATTATGATGCTAGCTTTTAAAAATAATCATTTGAGTCCTCAGATAAAATGTTCACAATCTCCTAATAAATAGGTCTACTAGAGCAAGATATTGTGGTACCTAGAAGATAGTGTCTAATTCTTTCTGGATTAGTTAAGAAAGCTTACACAGAGGAGACATTACTAAAATGTCCTTAAGGACAAATGCAATCTTAATAAATAAGCAAGAGCAGGACGTTACTCATAAAGATGGAGTCAATCCATAGAAAAATATAAACATGATCTAGTAGAGAAATTATGAGAAATTTGTTGACTGGTATATGTTTGGAAATATAAGTTTGACCAGATTATGAATTTTGGACTTGATCTTGTTATGCAGTGTTTTATTATTTAAAGCTCTGTGTGCTCCTGGAAAGTTCCCCAGAACCAACTCCCCCACCACCTACCCAAACTTTATAGTTTCAACAGTCTACCTAAGCCACTAGCAATATGAATCATTCTGTGCTGTGCATTCTTGTTTGTGTCGATCTCCAGACAAGGTAATCCCAGATCATACCTCACTTCTCCCCTTCATTATCATTCTGTGGCACACCTTAGCGTATCTAAAATTGCCCAAATACCCACTCAAGTAACTATAATCATAGTCCAATCTTTGTATGCATAACATCTTCCTTTTCATCTGTAGCTTTAAAATGTGAAGTTCTAGAATTTTCTTTGGATTTCTTCTCTCTGATCAGCTCCTGATGAGCTTATCTGATCTCATGGATTTGAATGCCATCTATGTATTGAGATTCAGCTGCTGGGTTTTCTCCCACAAGGGAGTTCATATACAGGAGTGCCAGCTGAATATCTCTTATTGAACACCTATAACTGTCAAATTATCACATCACTTCCTCCCCCCAAAAAAGTACCAACACCATTTAACCTGTGGTCTTGTCAAGAAAATTGCAACTATTACTTCTTTCTTTCCATTACTAAGGTTAAAACACTTAGAGTTCCTGACTTATTTTACATAACTTCATGTTCTCAAGTTCCATTTTCCAGAAAGTTAAATATTTCAGAGTTCTTCTTATGTGATAAACTTAAAATACAAATAAGTAAATAGACAAAGGAAAAATGATAAGAAACAACAAGGCAAACTTGTTGGAAATGGAGAACAGGTTGGGGTGGGAGGTGGAAGGGTAGGAAGAGAGGTAAAAAGGATCAAAATTCATGAAGGTATTATATATCTTTATCTATCTATCTAGAGCTATCTATCTATCTATCTATCTATCTATCTATCTATCTATCTATCTATTTCAGTGCCCCGAAACAGATACATATGCAATGAAGATGTGCTGCAAACACAGGCTAATAAAAGAGATGAACATTTAAAAAAACTTGAGGTTATATTTGACCTCTGTGTTTATCTCATACTCCTTATCCAATGTAATTGGCAAATCCTGTCAGTTCTAACACCAAAGTCCAGTCAAAATCCATCCATTTTTTCCCCAAAGACCATCCTTATACAAGGCTACTCTGCATATATTTCTAGAAAGTTCCTAATGATTTTTTTCTTTCTTGCCTTCCAATCTCATTCAACAGTGTATTTTAAAAACCAAAATCATTGTGTCACTTCTCAAAAATCCTACTGTTGTTTCATGTCTCACTCAGAGTAAAAGCCAAAGTTTAAAATCATTTAGAATGTCTTTCAGAACTACTGTTTCCAAATCCTGCAATCTTAGTTATCTAAATCTACCTCAAATCCTTCTTTCTCTGTAATCTGTCCAACTAACTCACATGGGATTTTTGTCCTCTGCATCATCAAATATATGTTTACTAAGTGACATTTTCACTTACTCTGGTTTCTTTTTGCAATGACTTTTCCAAAGATATTTCCACATTTTGTAATCTTTTTTTCCTCTAGATCTTTCCTCAGATACCTTGTTATCATTGAAAAACCCTTCCATGACTCATCTATTTTTTTCCTAACAGTATGCTGTGCACACTTATGAGTCCTACTTTGTTTTTGTTTTTCTTTTACAATAGATTGTAAATTGAGTTTGCAATTGTACTGTACATCTTAGGTGCCTGACATCCAAGAGGTAGTCAATTCATTTTTTCTGAAATAATGAATAAATCAGTTAATCATTTTATTTTTAAATTAATATTATTTATTGTATCCAATAATACTTATAAACCAAGTCTTACATACAACTATTTATTCACCATATGCTAGCTGTTGGGGTAAAATATTAAATAAGTCAAAACTGTCTCAGACCTCCAGTTCACTAAGGAGATAGATGGCTATCAGGAAAACACATGTGGTAAAATTTGTTAACTGCAGAGGAAAAAGAGTGATAGAGGAAAAGCACAGTGGACACTGAGAGGTTTTAGCAGAAGCATACATAACCCAGCAGAGTATTGGGATTGGGGCACAAGAGGTGAAAGATGGTAAAGGGAATCTTCCATCTTACATCTGTGTTTGAACAGGGATCTGAAGGATTAGTGCTTGTCAGGTTTTCTGAAGAGCAGAAACCATTCTTCACAGTTAGCAGAGCACGTGGAAATACTGGAGGTTAGCTCTGAGAAGGTCAGGAAGACTTCAAAGCATAAACAAGGAATCCTTGACTGTTCTAAGCAAAGCATTTATTTGATCATCCATATGGTTTTAAATGATATAAGTAGCAGAAGAGTAAGTGGGAAGAGGTTGAGTCTGTTAAAATAGCTCGTGAAAAAAATGTAAAAGAACATAGAGTAGCATGGTTGGGAAAAGGGGGGACAGGTAGGGGAAACATGGCAAAGGCTACATTGACATAAGTGGTGGGAAAAATATATGAATCAAATAAAATTAAAAATACTGGGCACTAGGAAGGAGAAAACAACTATGGAAAATCTGAAGGACGCATTTGAACATTTATGTCGATATAAAAGTTATAATAACTAAAACAACATTAAGAGTTTTCATGAGCTTTAAACTAAGAGCTGTAAGTCAGCCCCTATCTTCATAAATTTATAGACTATAATGTATCATACCAATCTGAGAATATTATCAGAAGCACAAATAAGTGTAATAATTCTACCAATATTTATCTAAAAATTGGATTATTAACTTTTCTTCTTAAGGTGATGTGATGATATTTTGCTGATTCTTTTCATTCAATCTTATTTTACCTATATGTCCTTCAACACTCATAAAATAATGACATTTTTAACTTACTCCATATATTAGACTTTTGTTTATTTTTAACATTGAATATGTTTGCTACTCTGAATTTTGAAGTAATAACTCCATAATTAGTGATGATTTAAATATTCCCATAAATTTGCAAAGTTAGAATTAGTGAAAGCTAGGGAATGTAGATACTTTTTATTGATTTCTGTTGTTTCTATTTTATTACAATGGTAAAATTCAGGCATATTTTACTATCATGTCTAATAAACTTTAAAAATATATTTTTATCATTTTTCCCTTTGAAAAAAGACATTAAAACTTGGTTTATCATAACTAAATGTTGTTATTTTTGGCATATGACTATGATCTGAGTAACACCTTTTCAATATTTAGGAAAGATTAGCAGAAGAAATTGAAAAACTGAGATCTGAACTTGACCAACTGAAAATGAGAACTGGCTCTTTAATTGAACCCACAATATCAAGGTAACATTAAATGAAAAATCTTATCTATAGTTCACTGAAAATAAATATGAATTTCCTTATGATTTCACATCTCCTCAGCAAATAAGTATCTCCTAACGCTCAGCAGTCATCATTATAATTTGGCTCTTTGGTAATTTAAATTCTGTATTCAAAAATAATTTCCTAATTTAAAAATCATTGCTGTAGATGTTTAAGGAAATTTTAATATCTTTTGTATCTTTCAGTTAGATGTATTAAAATATATTTAAATATCCTCAAACAAAGAAGTTGGACAGTGTATAAGAAGATGACATTTTTTTCTAAGAAGCCTCAACTTTTCTCTCTGCGTGTATTCAAGTAAACATGTCAAATGGTTAACATATCTGAACAAATGTCATTGGCTGTGATTACATAGCATCTTTCTGTTTTTTTAAAGCAATACAAATTAAGATGGAAGGTGAAATTACATGTATAAAAAAGGATTCAATTAAATTTAATCATGCTCATCATTTTAACGCACTACTTTATTCAATAAGAAAGAAGAAATGGGATAACCCCTTACTTGACAAAGAATTATAAAATTGGATAGATTGATGTGTATATTAATAACTCAGATGTAGTTTTCTTTTGTGCCTAAAGCCTTTTACTTAAATTTGATTAAAAATAACCTTAGGAACTTATTCATTTAATCATGTATTTACTAGGCAATATGGAATAATATCAACTGTTTGAAACTTTGAACATCCAGGCTTCTTTGAGGAGTCTCTTTTTCTCAGTATTATATTTATTTTGTGAATGTTCACTCAACAAGAGCAGAAATGTGCATTAATTTTGATAACTCCTATAATTTCAGCACCTAAAACACTATCTGGCCTGTAGTAGGACTTTAGTAAATATTCCTGAATTTATGATTAGATATGTAGTAAAAACATGTTTCAGGTGATATGTAAGAACCCAAATTTAAGAAATTCTAGCAGATTCTATGCTCTTTTTCAATGGAAGTATAAATAAAAACAATATTCATTACCGGAATATTTCTTTCTTCACTTGAGTATAAGAAATACAGTTCTGCAGGCAGAGAGACATCCAAAGAATTTTTAACTATGTAAGTCATTAATATAGAAAATGATGCTTATTTTAAAAATTCTGATCTAATATGAACTAAAATTATTAATTCAGCCATATGTATTCATATTTGATGCTGTTGATGATGATAATGATGATGATGAAGGAAGAAAAGAGCTGCTAAAATATCAAAAGACTAAGTATGAAAAGCAAGCATTATCTAATCACCAATCAATTATATTCTAATAGGAGCAGTTGACTATTTTCTTGGCTCTTTGGTGTTAGGTTTCAGTAATAAAAAGTTATAGAAGCTTCTAAAAGTCCATCACCACATTGTGGAGTCATTTTGTCACCCTAGCAATGTGACATTATCTACAATGAAGGGTCACTGGATGTATGGAGAACATTTATTCTTTGATAGAGAAGATGGCAATGGAAAGAACAGTAGGCCACGAATAAGATGACTCACATTCTTAGATTTCAGATGGTCCCTAGCTGTTCGAGTTTGGGAACCCATTTTTGGTTCTTAAGATTATAACAATATATATTTTTAAAACAAACATAATTTTTTTTTCCTGACTACTTCACAAGGGTTGCCAATAAAATGAGACAAGTGAGAAGAGGGGATTTTGTGAAGAGTAAATCATATCATAAGTATAAAATTATTATAGAAATTTATTAAGACAGCTAAGTGAAAGAATTATAAGTAGTCATAAGATGAGTGAATATTAAACAGAAGTTTGAATGCCCAAGCTTTTGAGGACATATAACCAAAGATATGTAAAATTAGGTAGGTAGATAGATATCCATATACATATGAAACATGTATACATATAAAGCAGAAAATGCATGAGAACTGAAACTATTAGTTTCGGGTCTTACAGGAAGAGAGATGAGAAGATATGAGCTAAGGCTAGTGATTAACTGTAATTAATATTGATATTAATTTTCTACTAGTATCTAGTTTGATAAGAAAGTAAATTGAGGTTCAGAGTGGCTAGACAAGGCTTAAGGTGGCTCAATTCTGAAGAAAGGGTGCGATCTGAGGACTTGGAAAGAACAATAGAGAAGAAAGAAATCAGAGAAAGACAAGAAGTGTTTTGTTAGAAAATTTAGAATTTATTTATCTAAAGATGTTTTTAAATGAGATTTTATGCAAGAATCACAGGAGATTGGAGGGCACTAGTTGGTCCATTGCTTAAAGGAACTGTTGACCGTTTTGTACCTCTAAATGCCACTGAAATATACATCTAACATCATTTAAAATTTGAATTAGTGTAGAAATTTTCCATCTGGTTTCTCCTGTTAGAAATGTAGCTCTGAAGAGAGAGAGAGAGAGAGAGAGAGAGAGAGAGAGAGAGAGAGAGAGAGCCTTTATCGTTTAAGCCATAGTTCTTATAGAATTGGTTTTGGCTTGGATCTTTGGCTCTCTCAAGATCTACTAAACACTTTTTACTTGCCAGACATAGATGCAATGGAGATATAGTGGTGCTAAAGAATATATGTTCCAGGGGGAACATATGGAAATACTAGTTTGTGGACTGTTAAAACACAGAATACTGAGAGCAAGAATAGTATGTATATGGCAATAGGACTTGTAATCTGACTTTAAGAATGCTAACCATGTAGATGTTTTAAGAGACGGTTTCCAGCAGAAGGAATAGCATGTACGAAGGCTCAGAAGTGAAATAAAGTGTTATTAAAAATCAAATGAAAGACAGTTTGGCTTGATGGAAAGTAACTCAAAGTGAATCTGGAACATAGAAAAGGCCCAGATTATAGAGGGCCTTAAGAGGACATTGAAGAGATTTTAGCAGGGCATTGAAGTGCCAGTTCTGTGTTTTGTCCCTTGTTTTTAATAAATAACCAAGAATCGAGTGATAAAACAACATAAACATACTCCTAAGAAAATGAGTTAAAATGTTAGCAACTCCACTATGATGGCCAAGGGGATTTTAGCATAAGTATCCTGCCACAGGTGAAAGAGCTCTAGACCATTCTGAGCAAGGGAATTTGGGACTACATTATAATATCCATTCATTATATTACTAGAAACTTATAAAGTACTTGTGTTGTACCAGTGCTTATTTTGTGATCTTTGTCTTCGTGAAAATCTGATCTTTGTTTTCATGAAACTTAGAGCCTCTGTCCAATAGATAAAGACTGTGAGTTATGACATTTCTGAGTTGCCCAGCTAATTTTTTATATATGAATTATCCTGTAGAATACAAGTTTCCTAATGTGTCAGGTTTATTGTTATAAAAATAATAGCCTCCATCTATTTGGCTGACAATTTCTCAGTTTGTTTGCTCTAATTGTCCAGTGCACAAAACAAGCTCTAGAGTCAGCTAAGTGTCTCCCGCCATTGCAAACATCAAGACTTTACTTAATATTTTTAAAATCTTGACAAATATTCAGCTATGCTTGTTTTTGTTCATAAAGGGAACAAAGGGAGAGAGTATAGTCAATCAGCAGGAGCCTCAAGTTCAACAGAAAATACAGCTTCAAGTATATTTTCAATTGATAATGGTTCTGTTATTTCATTTTAGAGGACAGCATGAAGTTACTGTTATTACTATCATCATTATTGTAGCAATAGACTGAATTTTCTGTGAATCTATAGAAAAATAACGTGTCTGAAGAAGCCCATTCTACACTTTGATTACAGTGTAGTTTATTACCATGTTTATTGAAAATGAATGTGATGATATTTTCGAATAGAAATTTTCCAAGTATTTCATCTCAAAGCAAATTATGGAATCAAACGTGCTTACCAAAAGATTTTTCTTTCATCATTTTGTAACAAATAGCTTATCAAAACCTTAAAAAATGGTTTCTGTGGTACATCTTATTTTATTTTAAATATAAGATTATTAACCTTCTAGCAATCTAATTTTAAGCATTTTGTTGTTTCTTTAAATTGAAAAAGAATATTATAAAATAAAAAGTGTGTTAAAGGATTTCTTCAAAATTGCTCATTGGAAGAGTTTGGGGTCCCCAAAATTTATGCATATTCCAGCTAAAAGGAAACATTTAAAATAAATGTAGTAATAAATGGGAAATATTGAGACCACCAGTGATGAATACAAACTAAATAGAATTGACAAAATTTAATGAAATGATTCTTTGTTATCAATCCCAACATATATCATTGTCCAACTATGTTTAAAAGGATAATAAACTGAAATCTTACAAGTATATTCTAATAGGAGAAAATGCACTAGACCTTCAGGAGTGAACCTGAGAGTGGAACTGCTAATATACTATTAAGTTTTAGAAGAGAATTTAATTAGCATGACGATTCACCTATTTTCTTTCTTGAGGCTTATTTCCTTGAGGATTTCTACTTTATTGTCAAGGAGCAGATGGTAATTTGTTTAAAAGTTTAATTTTTGAAATTGGATATATTTCCTGTTTTTTCTTTTCCTCCAGAACTCATCTAGACACTTCAGCTGAGTTGCGGTACTCAGTTGGATCTCTAGTGGACAGCCAGTCTGATTACAGGACAACTAAAGTGATAAGAAGACCAAGGAGAGGCCGTATGGGTGTGAGAAGAGATGAGCCAAAGGTAAATCATTTTATTTCAACTGTGATCATTTTAATTAAATACTTGATTCTATTTTGTTAAAGTATTATGTTAATACTTTAACGTAGCAAATTTACAATGCTAACATTTTTATTATTTTCAAGCATGGGACATGACTTATTTTTAAGTGATAACTGCACAAAGCTTGTATCTCTTAGTTACTTTCTTGGTGTTGGGACAAAATACCCAACACCCAGAAGTTTAAGGAGGAAAGGTTTATTTCAGCTCATGATTTGTAGAAGTTTCAGTCCATAGTCAGCTGGCTCCAAGGAAGGGCAGCATGGCAGAAAAGAAATAGTCCATTGCATGGCAGGCAGTAAGCAGCAAACAGCGAGCCTTCCTTTCCCTTTTTATTCCTTTGGTTGGTACCACCCACACCCAAGGTGAATCTTCCACATACACCTAGATCTATTTTAAATCAACTAGTGGACTAATCCAGTTACTACACAACCATGATCCAGCCACATCTCAAAAGCTCCAGCTATGAGTGCATTAGGCTTTGAAGGGACATCTAGATATAAGCTATAGCACTCTACTATGTGCCAGTAGTTAAGAATAGGATTTCCTATATATTTATTTGTTTGATATTATGATGTGAGTAATATGTTTTTAATTTCAGACATAAAAAGATTAAGGCTCAGAAAGATAAAGCATTTGACATTACACAGCCAGCAAACTGACAGAGTAAAAGTTTGAGCTTATGCCTGTGTGGTTTCCAATCTCAAGGCTTAAGCATTATGGTATACTGCCAAACAAATAGACTTTTGGGTTGTTTTGGCACTTAAGCAATGACATTCATATCACTAATCCAAATTAATTAAATATTTTATTGAAAATTACTATTTTAAGAACACTTTGAGGAAAATGTACATAAACTCAATGTACTTACAAAGAACAATGTTTTTAGAATGATAAGCTATAATACTAGCCTTTAATTCAGTCATTAACCTCAATTTCAGAAGTTATACTTTTAGAGTGGTAATACAATTGCATTTTATAGAGAGGTTATGCTGTTCCTTTATGCCCCAAGTATAGTTTGCTCCTCTCAACTATTTTTATGTATCCAAAAATACTATACTTATTTTTGCTTTAAGTATATACATGCCATCAACATGTTTTTTGTTTTTTGTTATTTTTGGTAGTGGGGATCAAACTCAGGACCTTGCATTTGCAAGGAAGGTGCGGTAACACTGAGCTAAATCCTCGGCCTAACATGTTGGTTTTTAAGTGGCACCAATATGTCGTGTATAAATTAATCCATCACACTAGGCATTCAATATCTGTTCAGTGTATGAATAAACAAATAAGCAAGTAAATATTAAATTAAGCTCATCTCAGTCTTTTCTCATTATTATGTAACAAATAAATTAGTGTTCCTTGGTACAAAAATAGTTTGTAACAGATGCTAATGTATTTCTTTAATTCTTAAGTCAATGCTTGGAAATATGATTCATTTTCCATAGTCAAAACAATGACAACTAACTTTTTAAAAAGCAGAAAACATGAGGGCCTATTCCTTATGCCCAATCGCTTTAACCTTCAGATCACAGTTTGAAAAACACTGGCTTATTGCTTTTCAAGACTATCTTTAAGATAGAATAATTATTATATTAATTATAAAACTATAATCCATACAAACTAATATATTTTGAATTTAAAAATATCAGTAGAGAAAGTCAAGTGACCAAACAATGGAGATGAAATGAAATCATTGCGTAATATTTTTAGTAATTTTTTATAACCTATATGAATTTTGAGGAGATGATTAAGTCATTCGTTATAATACCTATGATCTCAGATTTTAATAAGAAAAATGTAGGTAATACTAGTATAAGAAATGCAGATTTTTTAGTATAAGTACATAGAGATTACTATATCTACAAACAGAAAACTGTTGCAAATATAGATGCTTTAATCAGTGCAATGACTGAACTATAAATCACATGGAAATATTTTATCTCTATTACTATTTGTGTTGATATTTATGCTAACAATTATACCTTCCATTACTTAATCTCTCAAGTAACAATTTTATTGAATAAGTAAATTAAAATGTAATAACTGGTTCTCCTTTTGCTAGGTCAGCTATAAAGGCATGCATGCTTTTTACAGATAAATACTCTACATTGTTCACTTATCATTCAGGTGAAATCTCTTGGGGATCATGAATGGAATAGAACTCAACAAATTGGAGTCCTAAGTAGTCACCATTTTGAAAGTGACACTGAAATGTCTGATATTGATGATGATGACAGAGAAACAATTTTTAGCTCAATGGATCTTCTCTCTCCAAGTGGTCATTCTGATGCCCAGACCCTAGCTATGATGCTTCAGGAACAATTGGATGCCATCAACAAAGAAATAAGGTGAGTTTAACTAGTAATGATGGATTCAAGAGATTAAGAGACCTTGATGTTAAAAATGTGATTGATTCTCAGATCAGAAGCACTGCAGGAAGTTAGACCTCACCAATAGCCAGTGAATCAGAAGGTGAAAGCTCACAGGCATCCCAGGATATCTGTTGTCTCCTGGGGAAATTTCAGACAGGCCTTTAAGGAAACACAGACAAATGACATTGGGGCAATATAAAATATGTTAAAGATACATTTTTCTCCAGTGAATTTTAAAATACTTTTTAAACTAAAATTTACTATTTAAGTGGAAAGGATTTGTGGGATTGAGTTAGATTTTTTCAGCTATCATTCATATTGCGTTACAGGCACTTAATATATACAAATTGCATACTTAATTGTACACAAATTGTATACAGTACACTTAACTCCCTTAGAGGTATTTAGACATCAGTGTGAAATTAATTCAATTCTATTTTTATTTTATTTTGTTACTTATTTATTTTTGTGACTGGGAATTAAATCCAGGGCATTCACAGTGAGCCACAACTTTTATATTAAAAAATTTTTTTTGAGACAGCATCTCATTAAGTCACTTATTTGCTTGGACTTGCTATCCTTCTGCCTCCTATTTTTATAAATTTTAAGCCATTATATTAGGGATAAAGTATTTCTTGGAGATTTGTTTATGCTAGGGACCTTTTAAAAAACACCATCCTTTTTTTGTTTTTTCATTCAACACCAATGGAGCATGTCTTTGTCTTCTTGGACTACCATAGGTAGTAAGAAAATATGGTACTAACAAAATACCATAGTCTGGGTGGGTTAAAATAAAAAGTTCTCTTTTCACAGTTTTTGGTAAACTGGATAGTCTAAGGTCAAGGTTTTGGAAGGGTTTGATTTCTAGTGAAGGCTCTCTTCCTGGTCCTCAGGGGAGGCAGGCAGAGGGAGAAGGAGAGCATGAAAGAGAGAAGGCGAGAGAAAAACATTAATGCTTTCAAATTTGTTTTACCTTTATGACCTCATTGAATTTAACCTCCTCGATATTTCATCTCCAAATACTGTGTAGCCACATACAGGTACCTGATGAAATGAACAGGGTGGGTGGCACCACTTCCATCCACGGAAGGGCACATGCTAAAAGCAGGACAGGGTGCTCTTCTCCACCAGAACTAGTGATAACAAAGAAAGAACAAAGTTTGTGCTTGTAAATGGGATAAATTAAAACTGCTTCTCTTCTTAGTAATAAAAATTAAATTCCTTTAGAAATATTTTACATATAAACTACAAATTACTCATTTGAATGCTGTGGGTGGTTAATTGTATTCACTAATGTTTAAAACTTGCTTTTCAATTTGTCTGCCCTGATATTTCAAAATGAAACCTAATTCCTATGTAGATTTTTCTGGCAATTAATTAATATTCCCTATATCAGTAAAGGTAAAAATTTACACTTTAGTATTGAAGTTCATGGTAAATTAGATTGATCAATAAAAATTTCCTCTAATATTTAGGAAATATGTGTACAACATTCCCAAATAAGCAAATAAGGAGCAAATTGATTGGAATTCTTTAAATATATGAGGCTTATTATATGTACCAAACATAATTTAATGGTATAGTGTAACAACTCTCTTTATTATATTATTTTATTTTAATTCTAGAACCAATGAACCTGTAGGTAAAGTGTTTTAATTCAAATTATGTCATAGTAGATATGAAAGTGGGCAGGAAATAGATATACTTTGAAAAAAAAAAAACAGCCAGGAAGTCTCTGGAATTTACTGATACAGTAGTTGTACTGCCCAGAGAAGAAAAAAAATGAAAACAGTATATTTAATATAAAATATTCACAGAGCACTTTTCAGGTGATTTATGAGAATTCTATTACAATGTCATATAACGGATCAAAATTAAACTATTTTTTAGGCTAATTCAAGAAGAAAAAGAATCTACCGAGTTGCGCGCTGAAGAAATTGAGAATAGAGTGGCGAGTGTGAGCTTGGAAGGCCTGAATTTGGCAAGGGTCCACCCAGGCACGTCCATCACTGCCTCTGTTACGGCGTCGTCGCTGGCCAGTTCGTCGCCCCCCAGTGGACACTCGACGCCAAAGCTCACCCCGCGAAGTCCTGCCAGGGAAATGGATCGAATGGGAGTCATGACGCTGGTATGTTGATGTGTCCAGAGAAAATGGCCCCCCTTTAGGATTGATCATGCTTCCCAGCAACAAAAAGGAAGAAGGGAAGGAAAAGAAAGAAGGAAAGGAGGGAGAGAGGGAGGGAGGGAGGGAGGGAGAGGGAGGTAAGGTAGGAGGGAGGGAAAGATCAGCTAAAATTTATTTGGTGACAATTCCAGTATAAAGACTTTCTGGGCACTTTGATTATTTACTTCCTCCTCCTCCACAACAACCCTGTGTGGTAGGTACAATTATTAATCCATTATGGATGAAGAAATGGTAGCTCACACAGGAAACTTTCTCATGATCAAATACTAAGGAAATGGACTGACAGGGACCAACGTATCACTTACACTTTTGGTTTGAACGATTTAAAAAATTAAGTATACTTTTACTGATGGATTAATGAAATCAGTTTTGACTGGGTGGCTTTTTCATATACTAATTACCACAAATTATATATTATAATTGCTTCAATACACTAAGATATAATATTTCAATATCTAATTTTGCTAAGAGCTGTAAAAGAACAATAACACTAATTTCCCAGTGTTTTTACATTTAATGTCAACATTTTCACATGTATTCTTTCTTTTTCTCATTTACATTTATATTTGAAGTTAAAACTTGGAAACCTGTATTAGGAAGTATCCTGAAATCAACTGAGAGAAAACCAAAGTACCACATGGTAAAAATAATACAAGAAATCTTCTAGAAAATATGGTTCAAAGGACTACTGAATGCTGTGACATATAGTTACTTAATTCTCGTGACAACCTTGAAGTCAGAGGGCAAGGTATTCACAGAAGGTGGAGACAGCTGAGGCTTTGAGTACATGAGTAAATTGCAGGCGTTCCCCATGACTGATGAATTTAACTAGAGTCTTCTTCAAATTTCCTTAACTCAAAGCATATACTATTTTACTATTTTTCTGTCATTATCTGAAAATATATTAAAATGATAGCAATAGTAAATATAGAAAAATTTTGAACTGCTTATGGCAGTAAACTATGTTTTTAAAACAGCTAAAACAGGGGCCGGGGATTTAGCTCAGTGGTTTCGCCACCTGCTGCGCAAGCGCAAGGACCTGAGTTCGATCCCCAGTAGCAAAAAAATAAAAATAAAATAAAATAAAATAGCTAAAACAGCATTCTTTAAACAAAATCACATTTAAAAATAAAACAGCTTGGGAGTAGAGACTAATTAAAATACAAAGAGTAAAATAATAGTTTACTGCAAAATCTAACAAAGGATTAATAAATGGAGAAAAAATAGTGCTACTAAATAAGGATATGAAGCATATACATACATAAATATACATATATGTGTAATTTGTGTTCAGAAGACTGTGCAGCTACTCAGTATATATGCACACATATATCTACATAAAGCTTAATTCATGTCATTGTTAACTATTTTAAAATAATGTGTGCTCTGATTTTCTGTAGAATTGTATATGTATATGGGTGTGTATATTATACATACACACATGCATTTTTTTCATCATGAGAAAAACTTTTATAAACAATTAAAATTTTTGGTTGTACTTAAATATTTTAGTTCATCTTCACAAAATTTCTTTTATATAGCTTCAGTCTCATTTTCTTTAATTTTAGAATTGAGAATTGAAACTATTTACTATATGATAGAGTAACACTTTTCACATTCAAATTCCTGTTATAGGACGTCCAAGCAATAAAGTCCATGAGATGAAACAATGCTGAAAAGAATTTATTCTATTACACCATTGAACCTTCTGTTCTATGCCCATTACCAGACTTGACAGAAGTCAAGTCACTTGACAGTGACTAATCAGAATAGTGGTCAACTAGTTGGAAGTAACCTTATCTTAATATATAGTACAAACTTTAAGTCAATTTACTAATTAATAGTGAGCAAATATATAAAGCCACATTGTGTTCTGCTTTTGAGGGAATCTAGGAAAATATCTTTATTTTTTAGTAAATAAAAATATTATCATCTCTGCTTTAGTTTCTGCATGTGCTTTGTAATTTTTTTGATCAATTTATTTCCAAAACTACAGTAAGAATTTGAATCACAGAGCACAATTTAGTTAGTATTTAAGGCAGATATACTTTGGTGATTTTGGTAGCCTTATTATTTCATTATATTTTTTCAATATAATATTTTCCCTTTTAAATATTTTAATAAATATTAGCATCATAACTCTTTGTAGTGTAATTTTTACAATTATAAAACAATACATTTATAATTTACATACCATTTTATTTTTTGTGCATATGAAAAAGGTTCAAGGGCTTCCACAAAATTTCTTGAGCAGGTACTTACAAATAAATCAATGATAAATCAACTTTATTTCACTAAGTGAGAGTACTGAAAAAGTATTTAGTGCATTTCCTTAAGGGTAAAGAAGTATTTATTGAGTTCAAAATTTAAATTAGAAAATTTTTAAAAATGCAGTAAATTGTTACTACTTAATGAAATTGTCATCAAATTCATTATTTTTATAGTAAAGGACAGGTAGATTTTTTTTTTTTTGCCAGTAGAAAATGTTGGAGAAGATTAGAAATTTGGGGGACAGAAGATTAGAGATTAAAAAGACATTACATTAATTGCTACATTGTGGAACATCTCATGAACCTTGTTCTTAGTCCTAATAAGAAAACGTACTTGTGTTTATCTTCACCATTTACTTCACAACAAATCCACAGACATAAATAACAAGTTAAAAATATCTAATTGGAACACTGCATGTGGTAAAAATAACATATCTCTCACTAAGAAGACATAATATAAATCATAATGTAAGAGCTTAATAAAATTATTTTACTTATGCAAGAAAAATTAACAAAGATATTACATGAATTCACTTTATTAAGTTCATCTGAAATCATTAAAATGACTTCTTAAAAATTCTATGAAAGGGTACTGATAAGAAAGCAGCATTCTATGTTATGCTGAGGACAGAACTTTGAACTTTGGCAAGGAGGGCAATATCAGGATGTTCGGAAGCTTGAGATTTCACAGAGCAGCATGCTTTCCCAAAGGCATTCCAAAGCTCCCCAAGAATGGAGATAAAGGGAGAGGTTATAAATTCTGGATGTGTGCACTGAATCTTCATTCTTTTGTGTTTTCTTGGGAGGATGTTTGTTTTTAGTGGCTTACTCTAGCTACACTCACTGTGTGCTTTATATTCTCCGGGGCCCATGTCTAATATCAAATGCACGTAGACACAGACTCATTGTGGCAACTTGTTCCCCTAGGTTTTCTTCTGAGAGGCTCTTCTCTGAAGTAACTAGCAGGAGGAGTGCTTTTATAATGATTAAAAAACATTTATTTAGGAAAGAATGAAATGAAAAAATTGACAACTGAATTATAGATACTATTTGGACTGGAAAAATGGTCAAATGGAAATGATGAACTAGTTCTGTTTTATGTTGCTTTTATTGCTGCCATTCACAGCCAAGTGATCTAAGGAAACATCGAAGAAAGGTACTGTAAATAATTCTGACATGATTACTAATTGAATATTGTCTTCTTTCTATGAAAATTATAAAATAATATTCCCACTCAAGTATTTTATTAACATAAAAAAGAAGTATTGAGCGGTCGCTTCAGCAGAACATATACCAAAAAGAAGTATTGAGGGTATTAAAGTGTTATTGCATTTTTAAAATATTATTATAAGAGCAGAAGTCTCAAGCATAAAATTATTTGTGAGGCAATGATTAGATTATGAGGACTAAATATCTTGATTTATCACTAATACAAAATATTGGTGATAAAATTAGATATTTTAATATCAATACTAGAGTGTAGTTGATTGTTTTAAAATGTTGGTTTTGTTATTATTCATATATGATGAGCCCAACATATTAAGAGACAACTGCCAAAGAAAAGATACTAGTTGGTTTCTCACAGTTTTCAAGCACCAGGGTCAGAACAATGCTCTGGCAGAAGCAGTATCTTCAGAGCGTAGAGCCTCACAAATACAGAAAACAAGGAAATAGAGCAAAACCAACACTTTCCTGTTTGGAATGAAATCAAGATAATATATATGGCATAAGGAAATAGAGTGGACACAATTATGATTCACAAAATGAGATATTCCTAGATAGTTGAGAACAGCCACAGGGTATCGGATGGGGGAAGATTCCAAAGATCCTAGCTACTGTCTAATGCAAAAATCTGTTCTTTAGCATTTTCAGCATGTGGTAGCCGGTCTATGCTGAAGCACTTCTGAAACTAGAGAACTTTTATTGTTAGATGATTGAGGGAATCTATATTATGTCTCTATGGCTTAGATCGATGGAATTATTCATCATCTTATAGCATCTTCTTGACACTACCACTTAATTCTTAACCACAAATTTATCTGTATAATATCCTTATTAATCTTTGACCATGGTAAGGTTGAAAAGGGCTAGAAAGAATCTACAAAGTTAGAAAAAAAGTCTGGGTAGATGGTGTAAAAGAAATTTAGCTGGTATGAAAAAAAAGGATAGGATGAAAGATCCTGTGGAGAAACACAGATTCACAGCATTTAGAGTAAAGAGACTGGAAAGAAAGGTGTTGGAAAACTGAACACCAACTGAAAATCCTTGTGTATCAGGGGAAGTAGTTACATATATGATTTCATTTACACTTCAAAAGAACATATTAAGTTAACTATTATTATTTCCATTTTATTGACTGATTCCAAGGCCTTTCTTCCATACTTTATTTATATACTGTGAGCTTTCATGTTATGCAGAGGAAGAGTTTGTATCTTATGTGTTTAAGAGTCCATATTGGAAATGATATAGTTTGGTTGGCAGGAGGGGAAACAAAAGGTATTTTATAAGTTGGTATCTCAGGAGCAAAGGTTTGAAAGAAGAAATGGTCACGCTTAGAGGAAAGAAGCATAGAAAAGAATCATGGTTAAACATGGAACTGTGAAAATGCTACTAGATGATGGATGAGTCCTGAAACATGTTCACATTTAGATGGGTTTGGGATTTAAAAGGATTTATCACATTGGAGCTATAGTGAAACAGTTCTTGAAAAAAATTATGCTGATGGCACTGTGGTAGCTGATGGGAGAAAGGACTGGTACTAAAATGGCTCTCTAAGCTGCAAGAGTAATCTAGGCCTGGGTGATGTGAAACCTGACAAACAAGTTCATTAAATTCCTCCAGTGCATGATATTTCTATCATAAAAAACACATTTATGCATAATAGCTTTATGTAGAAACAAATAAGACATTTCCCCAGAATGCAAATTTACAATTATGGCATTAGGCACATTGAGAAAATTTTTTCATCAGAACTTCCAGAAACATGTATCTTTTAGCTCTGTTTTCCATATCTTGATTCCTCTTTGTTTGTGTAATATAAAATTATGCCATTAAAATACAGCATGTAAAGTATTTCTCTACAATTAACATAATTCCTAGAAATTTCTTTTTTTTATTAGAGCTCTATATTATCTCACAACATTTGTAGTGTATTGAGTTGTGCTGGATTCTGAATTTGATTCAATTTGTTCTTTAACATTTGATCTTATTTTCTTTTGGCTTTTTGTATTTTTTTCAATTTTCCCATCACTAGAAATGAAATATAACAATTTTCAAGAATTATGTTTTAAACTTTTATTGTTCTCAAATGGAAAAGGTTTTTTTTTATAAACTATTACTTTTTAAATACTCTTAAAATACACTTCATTAGGTTGACTAATTTAAAGTAATTTAGTGGATAATATTGTATCTTGCCAACTTGACTTCCCATTTTAAGACCCCCATTTAAAAGGTATCTTTGTTATGATAAACTGACTGTACACCATGCTTTTTTTCTTTAGTAGATTTACAGCTTTGCTCAAATATGTGTTCAGTACCTTTGTGTAAAAAGTATACTTTCTGATAAGGTGATATGATTGCAGAATATTTTTTCATAGTTACTACAGATTGATTTATGATATAACTTTTGCAAAATATTTTTTTGTGTAGTGGGTCCATGTATTCTTAATTGTAATGTCTTAACTTTTAAATAGCTCTGAAAATCATACTCTTAAATAATATGAATTTATATATATAATGCATGCATGCTCTGTGTCTTTGTGTTAGAATTACTCATATATCCTTGCTTTAAGGATTCCTTGTTTGTATCAATTTTAATTGAAATTTAGAGAGAGTTCATTTGAATATATTCTCTTTTGCTTCTAGATTGCAGTGGTAGAAGAAGATGGTCGGGAGGATAAAGCAACCATTAAATGTGAAACTTCTCCTCCCCCCACACCCAGAGCCATCAGAATGACTCACACCCTCCCCTCTTCCTACCACAATGAAGCCAGAAGGTGAGACCCTCTGAGCTCACAGTGCAGCAAATGCTGCCCTTCTAAAACTTTTCTTTCCCTTCAGTGTTGTCAAATAGACAGCTATACAATTTCTATGAAATTAAATTTGAGTCATAATTTTCCATCAAGACATTGTCCTAAGAAACTAAAGAAAAAATCCTATAAAATCATGTATGAATAGCACCTTCAACTTTACAATTAGTTGATTACCATAGGTTATTAATACTTAAGTTTAGAAAGATAAACTCTGAGATATACATAATGGGAAAAGAGCCCTTTTTGCCTTGTTGATGAAAATGTAAACTAGTACAAACACTGTGGAAATCAGTATAGAGATTCTTTAAAACACTAAAACTAGAAATTCTGTATGGCCCAACTATTCTTCTTTAAGGTATTTTCCTACAACAGTTAATGACATGTTATCACAGTGACACATACATACCCATGTTTTATAGCAGCATAATCCATAATAGCTGAGTCTTGGAAGCAGCCTATATATGTCTAACAGCAGATAAACTGGTAAATAAAAGGTGATACTTACACATATTTAAGTGTTACTCTGCCATAAGAAGGATAAACTCAAGTCATTTTTAGGAGAATGGATGCACCTTGAGACCATAATGTTAAGTGAAATAAATTAGGCATACAATCTTAAATATTGCATGATTTCTCTTATGTTAGAAATCTTGAATATAAATGAAGAGCAAAATAAAAGATAGATAATAGGAAGTAGGGAAATAGATCTTTCTCAATGGGAAGAGGACTAAGAGATGGAGGAAGGAGGAGGGGAAGGAAGGAGAGGGAAAACGGGTGGACAAAGAATTAAGATGTGTTATGTGCATGTGGCAAGGCCCACAAAGAATGTAATCATGATGTACTGCAAACATGAATGCACTAATAATTTTTTTTAATTTTAAAAAAGAAAGAATAAGCTAAGGGTTGAGTAATAGAATGACATTTAATGTGGCATTATTAATCTAGCATAAATTCATTGATTATTTTGTCATTATCCAAAGAATAAAAGGGGAAAATCAATTTGCAACAAAAAGAAATAAAACTGGAAAGAACTGGAAATTTGGAGATGGAGATTCAGGGCCCTGAGGCTAAAGAAACTACATTTTAATATCTTAAGTGAAAGCATAAAAAGAAAGGGAGAAAATAACATTCAAACTCTACTTGTTTCTCCTATTGTACATTTATAAAGGAATCAAGTCTTGTGTGCCTTGTGGATATTGCATCAAAACAAGCAGTTTGTTCCCCTTTGTGTTTTACAGTAGTTTATCTGCCTCTCTCGAGCCAGAAAGCCTTGGGCTTGGAAGTGCCAATAGCAGCCAAGACTCTCTTCACAAAGCCCCCAAGAAGAAAGGAATCAAGTCTTCAATAGGACGCTTATTTGGTAAAAAAGAGAAAGCTCGTCTTGGACAACTCCGTAAGTATGCATGTGTCATTTTTGTCACTTTTGTGTGTCTCTGACTCACTTCATTTCTTTTCTTTTCATTTCTTCTTTCTTATCAGACAAACTTCTTATTTAAACAATTTGATTAATCTTATTTAGCTGAATAATGCTTAATAAAAATTGCAGTGAAAGAATGTTATAAAATCTTCATTTTATTTCTCTGGTAATAAGAGCAGCTAGAATTTATTTAATGCTAATTATTGTGGCAGGCACGATAACCATATGACACAAGTGTAGTCACAGTCATCTTTATTTTATTGGTGAGTGAACAGTGTCTTAGTATTTTTGCAATACTGAGATATTCACCTTGATTCTAGTGTTTCAAAATCAGCTTAAACCCACTGAGTGCACTGCCACTTGGGACATAGCTGTGTAAAAAAGCTGTTGTATGAATTCAGAACCAAAATGTTGAAAAAGATGAGAAGCTTAATAAAATCCAACAGAACTTTTTAATGTCAAAATAAGCATCATGATAAATAGTATTTAAAACATAAAGAGTAGGATTTCTTTGCCTAAAGCCATCAGAATTTTCCCTTAATAATCTCCATGACATGAGAAGGTCTATTCTTATAGTAGGGATTGTACTAGAATCAGCTATTGTCAGTGACTGAATTAAAATATAGATTTCAACATTTGAAATAACCCTAAGAATAACTTTATAAAAAAAGATGCAAGCATATTCCCGTATATGCATAATATCTGAAATGAAAACAATAGGTGATATTTATGAAATGATAAATACAGTTGGCTCTTTTAAGGGGAAGTCTTCCTATATATTTACATTTAGAGTTACATGATTGGGAAAAGATTGAGCTTCTACCTCCAATGGTAAGTGGAATGATGTAAATTTCCACGTACTTCCTTGAGTTTGTCAAATAGAGGAATGATTGTTTACAAGTAATCCCTCAACATTCAGACTTAGTTTTCTACTTTACTACCAAAATAATTTCTGAATATGATATTTATGCTTGAAGATTTATGACAGTAATATTATTCAAAAATGCCTTTCCTGACTTCCACATTTGGAACCCCCAAAATAATCAAATGCTATGAGAAAGTGATGTGCAGTCATCTGTATGACAGCAGTGGCATTAGAACCTCTTATGATTTCTATTTCTCAGGAGAGGATCCTCTTAGCCTATTAAAATTTTTGCATAAGGAGAGAAGAGAGGAGCTGGTTATTTTATATAAAATATATGTGCCAGACATTAAGATTTATTTTACCTACTTTGACAGTGTTTATAGTCTTTATCGAATTATTTTCATTTCCAATATATCATAGTGTAATTCACAGTAGTGTTGTTGGTTATTCTATAATTTATTCTTTTAAAAATATATTTAATTTTTTTCACTCTTAGATTTTTCTACTTCTATTTTATATTTATATTTGATAAGGAATTCTCAAATCATTAAGTCTTTTCACATATCCAAGGTATAATTTAAAGTCCAGAAAATCTAAAGGCTCCTAGAAACCTAGTGCTTATTTCCTGTTTTCAGTGTCTGTGTGTCTTTAGATCAGAACAAATGAAACTGAAATCAATTTTAATTATATCTTTCTCAATCCCACCAAAGTTGGAAACAAGTTGGTATCACATCATAAGCTTTGGAAGATTTCTGAACTCTGATCCATTTTTGTTTTACTCCATAGAGCAGCAGAGAACAGGAGGAGTATAATCAAATCCAGACTCAGTAGCTAAGTAGGAGCCGAAATACTGATAAGGAAGGCAAGGACAAAAACTATACCTATGAAGTTTTATAGGGTTCACATATAGAATGAATCAAAACTTCTGGAGAAATTAATAATAAAACATCTCTATTGGAAATACACTTGGTGAAATAAGAAAAGGATGTAGATAGGAGTGGGTTCCAGGAAACCATATCTGTACCAAAAATACCTGGTACAAAGAACCTAACAGTAATTCGGATAAGGGATAGGGACTGTAGGGCTACTTTGTTCTGGAAGGCGTATGCAGGTACTAACACAAACACCATTAAAACTTCTCAAACCCCAGAACTATAAGCTGGTGCTGCTGATTCATGAATCAGAGTAATCTAAGGGAGCATCACAAGTATTTTCAATTTTAATGTCTAGAGCTCAAAATTTCAAAGACACAGGAACACTACAAATGTTATTTCTTCTACAATACAAATAAAAACAAATACATAAATAAATCAAAATAAAATAAAGACAATAAGAAAGGATGATATAGAATAATAAAAAGTAAATTTGAAATTTTGAGCCATACTCTAAGATTTATTACTCTTAAAATATTTAGCTAATAAGGGAAGGAAATGTAAGTTAACTTGAGAGCAACTGTGCTACTTACATTTAAATAAAATACAATTTGGAGGGAGAAAATTACATACCTACAACTATGAAAGGATATCTTGGTTCCATCAGAAATATGAACAACAAAGGAAGAATTCATAGTAAACTACATTGGAAAATATTTGAAGAGATGTTACATATATACTCATTGAAAGCCTAGGTTAAAATTATAAATTCTAAATATGAATGATCAGTTAATATGACTACATAGATAACTTCTAAGTAGAATCAAAGTCATTATGCACATTGTCTATTTGTACAAATGTTAGAAACAAAGGCAAAACAAATATGGAAACATTATAACTCAAAGGAAGCAACACAATGAAAAGCAATTGTGTAAAACTAAGATAAACCAAATTATTTTCCTCCAAAAATTTCTTACAGAATCCTTTCAAGTGTTGTTTTATCCAAATCACAAGAGTAGCGTAGAAAAAAAAAAACTGGTAGTAATGGTAAATTTTGGATTTTCATATGTCTTTTGGAAAATGCATTCTATTTTTAACAGATGATTTGACAGTTCTTATTTATAGTATTATTGCCTATAATTTAGGAGCAGGGTTTGAAAACTGAAATGTCTATTAGAGGTATCAGGTTATGGGCTAAGTATAAAATAACAGGGAGTGGTGTAGACTAAAATGAATCAGTGAGCATTTGTTCTTCTAATAAAAGCATTCAAAATCAATTTTAAAGTACTATATAGGAAAAAGGAACCATATATTCGAGCCAAGTCTGTCAGAATTCCACAGCTGAAGTTGGGAAAAGTCTCCTTTTTGGGAATACGATTTTAGTTCCTTCTTCTCTTGCCTTTATTTTTATTTGCTCTCTGTATCTCAAATTTCATGATGAGAAGGTGCACAAATAGGTTTGGTATTTTCACCGAAGGACATGAAGACTGTTACTGTAATAAATACTTCTGCTATTTTTCTGTAAAAAGAGATTCAGAATGTAGTCGGATCTTGTTAACAGTGAGCATGATCAATGACCATGAACTACCTCACCACTGATTTATGCATTCAAGAGCAATGTATAACTGATATTTCCATTATTGGTCAAACATACTCATTTCTAATTTATATTTTAAAAGTCAGCATTTGATCCTGTCATCTTCTCTAGATACTGACTTATATTTCTTCTTTCCTTAACATCTAAGATTCAGTGAGTTATCCACAAGTACGTTTTTGCTTCCTCGTCCGTCAAACACTTGACATCAATATCCTCACATTTTACGACAAAACAAGTTCAGTCTTAACAGAGTAGTTTGTTTGAACAAAGAAGGCTGGGCACAAACAAAGCAATTTAAGACTGTGGTAATACACTCACAAATCGTATCTTATCATATGAATTTAAAAAAGAAACAGTATATCTGAAATGGGATTTCTCCACCAAAAACATATTTTATATTTTGTTAGAAAGAGAAACATAACAAATGATAGATATATGTAAGTGGTATAGATGTATAAAAGCAATGTTAGGAATTCCACTAGCCAAAATAAACTTATCATTGGAAATACTACCCACATTGAAAGAGAAATTATAAAATTAGATTTTATTTTTGAATAAAAGAAAAGTTTATGTGAGTAGAATTAAAAATAAGTATAATTATTTGAATAGTCTCATTTATTCCTCCAAATCCTTATTTGGAGAGAAAGAATTCACCCAGAAAATAGCTGTTAATAAGAGAACATTAAAGCCAAAGAACCATGAGGAGATTTCAAGGGTTAAAAGAAAAGAAGAGGTAATACAAGATCATTTATTTATTCCCACTTTGAGTGAAGAAGCATACATTTAGCTTCTGTTAAGTTCAGCACACCAACCATAAACTTTACGAAGATCACTGAAGCATGGCTGTTGGCAAAAAGAAGGTTTAGCAAGATGCATAATATGTAAAGTTACAAAACCTCTATATTTAAAATAAAACAAAAGATTGGTGTGTCTCTGGCCCAGAAAAGTTTTCCTCATGCATTATCTGTCCTGTCAGGACAATGAGGACGAGTGGTTCTGAGCCCTAAGATCAGTGATTATGCATAAGTAATTGAAATCCTGACTAGCTTGACTTTTAATTTTATCTGAAGGCGTTAACCTATTTTTAAACAGAAAATAAGCTGTGCTAAAAATAGCCATGTCAGACTAAGCTCTTTTGTTTCCTTGACAAAGTTACTCAGTAAATGATCAGCATAGGCAGCCAGCAAACTGTGACTCGTGACATTCCCTTAGACAAAATGTCAAAAGTGGGCTGACTCATGGAAAAATTAGGTAGATTTATAACTCATTAAATAATCCTTACCCTATAGCACTGATAAGTGGAGTGACATCAACTTCAAGGCTTATAGCAATACGACTAGAACTCCCACTTTCCTTAGTCAACACATTTGCCAATCACTTGAACTAAAACATTTCAACAGTGCAAGTATCTGATGATAGTTACTGATATAATTAGGAATCATAACTGAGAAAATTAGGAAGGCTATATCAAAAAACTGAGTTAAGGAGGGTCCAAATTATCCCCTCCTAAAGGTACAGTTCTTGGGAGCATTTTTCAATAAGAGAAATTTATAAGTTTCATCTGACTCTACAGTAAATATGATCAATAAATTTAGGCCTCTTTAATAGATATAAGTATTAAGAGAGAAGAAAAAGACTTTTCTATTCTATCCTGCTACAGCAAGAAAATAGTCCAAAGATATCCATTCTAATTATTACACTTGTAGAGATATATGTCACCTTGAAGACAGGCTGGAGAACAATATTAAGGTGATGTGGAGGACTGAAATCCATGAAGAGTAGATAGGTAAAGGATATGTTAATTTGCCTTGCTGACCTACCAGGTTTCAAAAATTTGAAGAAGTGCTCTGTAGAAGAGTCGTTAGCCTTGTCATTGTTGAATGAAGATAAAAAGCTAGAACCAAACTTAATGTTATAGAAAGGTAAACTTTATCTCAATCTGAGAAAGATGAATGAGGTGTCCAATTATATATAGAACATTCCAGTTTAAGAGATCATGAGTTGTTACCTGAGACCTCTGGTTCTTCTCTCTGGGCTTCTTCCTGACACTCTATCCCATATATTATATGAAACAAATACCCAGTGGGTAGGGATGTACCAACTTACATCTAGGAACTATTCTGGGTGAGTGATCTGATCCTGGATTCAGGAGGAGGTGGTGTAGAAGAGGGATCACTTGGTACTCCTTAATAGAAGGGAATCATATGAGTTTGGATCACTAAATTGTTGATTTGGGGTGACTCAAACTTTTTATGTAGAAAGGGAGCTTGTAAAAATTACCTGGCTGGGCTCTTCATACCCTAAGTGGGATCCTACCTCCAACAGTTAGTAGTTTTCAAAGACTTTACAAAGTAAAAGTACCTGAGGGATAGTTGCAGAGCTCCATCAAAGCCAAAAACCCTGTATGCACAGCCATGAGGTAGGCAGCAAAGTGATAAACTATCTATTATTTAATTACCAAATTATGAGACTCATGTCTTTCAAGTCTGAGCCCCTCAGGCCATGCAAGGAGTCAGATTAATTATTCTTTTTCCCCCCATTAAGTTTATTGGTCCATTTTAGGTATAAAATACAGTTACATTCATCAATGCTTTTTGGACCATTTCCTAATGAACTACCTAGAAGAATGAGTAATTTCTAGCTTTCATAGGCCAGTGTTTCTCACCCTAGGCACTCTTGCCATTTTAAGAAGGACAAGCTACAAGATTCTCTGCTTACTGAAAATATTTAGAATTCTCATCTTCTGCCCAATATATACCCATTTCACTTCATCATCACTGCAATATCCAAGAACTGTGCAATGTATACAAATATTTATGTCTTGGGAATTGATACTTTCTCCAGTTGAGAATTAGTGGTCTCTAGTGCTGTCCACTATTAATATAAGACATAAAACTGAGCCTCATATGTAATTTTTAACTTTGTAGTAGCTATATTAGAAGAATGAAAAGGACAATTGAAATTAATTTTAATAATATGGTTTATTTAAACAAATATATACAAAATACTGTCATTTCAACATATAATCAACACAAAATTATTAAATAGGTTATTGTTGGTGCTGCATTTTCAAAATCTGTCAGCACATATTTGGACCAACCACATTACAAGTGCTCAGGAGTGGCTAGAGAGCCCATTAATTGCTGACAAGAAAGTGACAAACTCACCATATTTAGTAATCACACTTAGAGTAAAAGAATCCCTAAGTTAGTTTGGCTGAGGTCATCTTCTGCAGTTTGTTGGATGGGTATGTGGAAAAATGAACCAAAGATCCACTGGCCAGCTGAGTCAGTTCTAGAGAGAAATGCCTTTCTCATCCATAAATGTTTACCTGCGCTGAAAAAGTGCACTTGCCACGACTTTTGCCGCTGTTTATGGGCCCTGTCTTGTGTGTGATTGGCCTCAAGCAAAATTTTCGATTTGGCATTTTCAAGCAAGACACAACCCCAATTATGTATTAACTCCTTTCACAACAAATCAATTGGATTTCAGAGTAGTCAGTATGAAATTCTTGGATTGAGTTTTATGGAGAAGGATGTGAGAGTTAACCAGATGAACAGAACAAAGTACCAGTAGCAGGATATGGAGAACATTTAGAAGTCAGCAAATGTCTCTCCAGTCTCTCATCTTTGAACTGAAAACATACACTAAATTTCTATTCAATGGGTTACCATTTATCTCATTGTATATAAGATATGGCAAATATTTTACATGATAAATAAGTAAACAAATCTCATACACCATAGAATTATTCACTTCTGTTTTTCCTAAGTAGGAAAATTGACCTTGAACTTTGAGTACTGTATGTTCAAGTGTTTTATTATACAGAAGAGACATTTGTTATTTTCCACATTCATTATTGAACAACTGGATGGAACATCAATAGCTTCTTGTTTATTTTTTATTCTCTTGTATTTGTTTACTTGTGCAAACATGTTATATATGTTGTGTATACAACTATAGACAATCCAAAAATTGTAATACTAAACACTTGCTCAAATAAGATTTTAAGAATTTAATTTCAGCATTTTTATAATGTATATATCTAAATCTGAATAGTTATTTCTTCACAGGAGGCTTTATGGAGACGGAAGCTGCAGCTCAGGAATCTCTGGGATTAGGCAAACTTGGAACACAAGCTGAAAAGGACAGAAGACTTAAAAAAAAGTAGGTTTGGAGACTTTTTTCCTCCTCTTTCTAACTTTTATTTCTTCCTAATTATTGTTTGCAGAAAATTAAGAAGAGAATAATTAGAAACAAGACAACTAAATTGAAGCCAGTACTTTCTTGGTTTTACAGAAAATAATTCAGTGCTCATGTTTCCTGACGATAATGAGCTACACATTAAAATGTGTATAAAATTTTTCAGCTTGCAATAGAATAAAAAGTTTCTTCCAAATCACCAAAGTATTTGTTTCAAAACTCAAGTATATTTTAAATACTTTCATCCTAAAAATATGCAATAGTCTACTTGATGTTAAATTCAATGCTTATACAATGAGAACACAACATCTATCCAACTTTGTGCTTCATCTCATGACAATTACGGTATCTAACCTTTATGATGGAGTATTGAAAAGGAGAAACATTTCTCTGGCTAAAAATAAATTTATTTTAGACTCACAGCAGATTGTTTTGCATCTGTCAGGAAACTGATAGTGTATCTTTTCATTCATGTATAAAATGGAACATTTAAATGACTTGGAAAATTGGCAAATTTTGAGTCTCAGCAGCTGTTGGAAAGCAACAGCGTTCATAAATAATGTATTTTAAGATACATAGTAACATTTTTTTACTGAAAAAATAGCACCCTTAGAACAGGTTCTTTGAAAGCAAAAGCAAAATAATTTCTATATTCCATAATCTATTGGTTAATTACTTCTTTTCTTCTCTCCCAAATATTTATTATACTGTGTTACATTTCAGATATTTCCTTCTTTGCTCAGAACTAAAATTTTGCTAGTCACAATTTTGTAACAGATATCTTCCTATGATTATAATATGTAGACTAATTAATTTATTTCATATTTTATCCTCTCACTTGCTGTGCAGATATTTACTAATAAGAGGAATTATATACTTATAAGTTGCAGAACAACTTATTGTTTTCTTATTTTACTACTTACTAAGATTAGATCTCTTCACTGATTCAATAGAAATACTTGGAAAAAATGACATTGCAAACCTTATTTCCTGAATATAATTAAATATTCAGTAATATTCAATAATAAATATATCGTCTTTAGTTACTAATCATTCAAAAACATATTTAAATGTTATCATAATCTGTTTTGAATATTTTTGTTTAGTTATATCAAGGAATGTTATATTTAATTTTGTGGCTATTTATGGAAAAAACATTTATAAAATGTTTATTTGTAAAATTTAAAAAATTCTTTGGTTCTTTTACTTGAAATCTAAAGGAATATGGAAATTTAAAACTCAAACTGGTCAGTGGACATGATATATTTCCCTTCAAAGTTAATTCTCATTTCTTCCACAAAGAAATATTACCAAATGGCAATCTGAACAGCTTTCACAACTGTATATAAAGCTGATATTGAGGCAGTATACTGAATAACTTCTTGAGTATTTATGGACCAAGGTAAATCACCCTTTTAACAGGTAAAAAATCTGTTTGCACAATAATTTAAAATTAAATACTTAACATTTAGCTATTACTCAGTTTTCACATTTCTGATCGATATTAGTCTTAAAGAATTATTTCTCACCTCCTAAATACCCTTACAGTCAGAATTTACTTTTAGTTCTGTACTCCATTTGTACCACGCTTGACTTTTTGTTTTATTTTGCAATAAATTTTGATAAAATACAATTGGAAAATATGTTAAACAGAGTATTTGTTTTTAATAAGAAGACTATTAAGAACATTCTGAAAAAGAACATTCTGTAAGTCAATAATAGCCATTCTTAGTACAATTATTTACTATAGAATAATAGTATTTTGATTAATGTATCCCTCAAGGTTAGGTAGAGTTATTTAAAGAAAATAGAAAAGTATTTTTTCTTTTTATTTGGATGTTCCATAGTGAGAACCTATGAACATAAATATGCTATTTGTGTTTCGGAAACATAAACGAATAAGTACTAACACTTATTCAAGATGTGCCTGATTCTGTCCTTTGCTTCTGTGTTATTACAAAGTGATATGCTTTCAAATAATGAATTTTATTAGATTCAAAAGATAAATTATTTTTAAATTACATGGTTTCAAAATTTATTTCTATAAATTTCATTCTTAGTTTTTACTAAATATTGGTAGCTTGTTCTCAGATTTTCCCATGTCTAAAATTTCACTGAAATCCAATTTTTTTTTTTTTTTTGGTACCGGGGATCTGAACTCAGGACCTTGCACTTGCAAGGCAGGCTGTGGAACCACTGAGCTAAATTCCCAGCCCTGAAATCCAATTTTTTTAAAGAGACAACATATACTTTTTCATTATGCTTCAAATGAAATTTTTCATTCTTTTCTGCTGGCATTCTACAATGAAAACAATTTTAAGACTATTTTATTAAAAAAATAAACAGTAAATAAACAACCACTTTCAAAATGTTTAACACTATAAATTGTACAACAACAGTTGTAATTACTGTGGTTTCCTAACAGTCACTTCTATATTTTATCCACTAGGGCTCTAAATGATGTTTCAGGCCATAGTATTTAACTTAAACCTGTGTTCACTATCCCAGACCCATATCACAGATTCACTAGTCTCTGTGAGTGTAAGCAGAGCTGGAGAGAATCTTATTTTCAGTTTTGCTAAAATATCAGATATCCACAATTGTCAGTCTGTGCCGTTCAATTTAATTCGGACAAATCTTCTCTAGAGAAGTTAACTATGGTGTATTACAAAAATACCACATGGGGAAGATACTTTCAGAGAGCATTTGAGAGATTTCAAATTCTTTCAAAGTTTAGAAATTTTTAATGGTGGCAGTCTCAAAGATAGGTCTCCTTTGGGGTAATTTTACCATTTAGCAAATTCAACACACATAGGTTTGAAGGGTTCACAAAATCTATGTTCCTACTTTAACTCTACTTGTGCTTTGTTTCTTGCTCCAGGCAATAGTTTTGCTTATATTTCTTACTATTGTCCTATGACAGCAAACAGCAAGTCAGCAATCCTGAATCTGCTACAGTACTTGTGTGCCAAGATAATCTTTTCTACCTTTACCTTCCTCAGAGTTATCATACAGGAGCTGTTCTTTCATCATAAAAACAGAGAACCTAAGCTTAAGCCCAGTTATGATTGCTCAGACTGGTTTGCCATTATTATCACACATCATTGCTTTGTTTACTTTTAAATTTTCAATCTTATGCATTGTTTCAGCAGGACTCTATAAGCACAGGTTATATTGAATTGAAACTCACTTTGTCATTCTTTGAATATTTCACATTAATATTCTTGGTCTTCCCCTTTCAAATTTGACAGGTTTTATTTTTCAGTCTCCTAGTGTAGCTCTCTTCTCAGTATTTAGTCTGGACTGAGAACTTGTCCATCATCCTGTGCTTCACTGGACTCCAGGCTCTTTTTATTCAACAAAAACAAACATCTTCTTCCTTTCTAAGATTGACATTGAGTGTAACTAGGCCTGAGAATCTCCCCTCTTCACCTTTGTATCTGTCATTCCTTTCTATGCAGCTTATTTTTAAGATCTTAAGCTTCTTGCACAGGATGGTTTATTAAAACCAACCACAGAACTGAAACAACTGCATAGAATAATAGAAGTTACTGCAAGATCCAAACCCTACATGAGCTAGCCCAACAAAAACATTGGTTATACTGGGTGTGGTGGTGCATGCCTGTAATCCCAGCATTCCAGAGCCTGAGGCAAAAGGACCAGGAGATCCAGGCCAGCCTGGACTACATAGTAAGTTCAAGGCCAGCCTTAACTAAGAGTGAGACCTTGTCTCAAAGCAAAACAAGTCAGGTTTTTTGTTTCATTTTGGTTTTTGGGGTTTTTTTGCGGGGGGAGGTACTTACAATTAAACCCAGGGCCTTCATACTGAGCAATATCCCCACTCGTTTTTATTTTGTATTTTTAAACAGGGTCTAGATAAATTGCCTAAGGTGAGTTTGACCTTGCAATCCTTCTGCTTCAGCCTCCAAATTAGCTGGGATGACAGATGTGTACAAAACATCAGTTTCTGAATGAAATTAAACTCCCCCAAATTTTACTTGGAGTCTCAATTTGGGAATCTTAGGGCCCAATAAATAGAAACCCTCTTCCTTTGTAAGTACAGAACTTATTTGATGATAAAGAAAGCCAGATAATTAGAGATCAAAATATCGGCCTGGTTGGCAGTAATGTTGCTAGAACATAGCTTCAGTAATGTAGTGTGCATGTGGGGCGATGCTTCTTAATACAAATGGCAGGACGGGCTGAGCTTCCCAACACAGAATACCAAAATTAAATACACTTACCTGACACAGGAAGAGCTGCTTTTATAGCCTTCTAAGATTCACTTCATCTTAAAAATAAAATTGTAATATTATGATTTTGAAAATCTATTACTGTAGAAGCAACAACTATTTATAAATTTGCATCCTTAACATCCTTGCCTGAAGAAAAGTTTTTGAAGTTATCGGTGTTATTTGCATTGTTATTAAGATCTTATTAGATTTCTTACTACCTTCTCTTTTGGGATATATTTTGCTGCCAGGTTTTCATATCACTATCTTTAGAAATGTGATGATAGCAAAGTAGGAGAAGTGAAAAATTTCCTAGATTGTTAGAGATCTGAAAATACATTTGGCACATAAAATTAATTGATAATAGTCAAAGGTGTAGAACTACTCTACTGGTGTAAAATAATCCCCCTCAGAACTTTGAGGTTACTACTTTTCTTACTCCCAATTAAGTCTAATGTAAATTTATGGTCAGTTTTTTGTATATAACATGTTGAATTTCTTTTTCCTTTGTCTCTCTTTGGAATTTTTCAGAATTCTTAGGCTTATCATTGAGATTTTGAAATGTCATAAATATTTGCCTATTTAAATTATTTTATGATCCATTTTTTATATTATAGTTTCAATATGAAGAGTTGTTAGATTGGAATGTTAAACACGTATTGCCCTCAGGATTTACATTTCAAGCTGCATCTTTGATTCCAAAATGCTTATGTGTATGATCAAAATATACAC